ACATTATGAGATCCTGAATCGTCATTCTCATGATATAAATTTTCCCTTGCAGAATTCCCATCGCAGTTGACCTGTCATCCCAAACATCTATCGACGCCTATTGTATGCCCGATTGTCGAAGGTATGTCATATAGTAAAAAATGGAAGCCCTGACTCCTATCTCTCAATCACATTAATGTCTGATTTCAGTTCCTCCTGCACTGTGGCTTTTTCTCGCTTGTCTCCAATTCAAAATCAGAACTTCATCTCCATCTTCTTCGAGTCCTTTTTTCAAATACACTTGTCGGACCACATGTCCGTCGACCAAAAAGCTATCCAAAAATTTCCAGCTAGTTTTCTTTGTCTCATTCAATTCTGGCCGTGTTGGTGACAGACTATGCTCAACATCGAGATTCTTGTCATCCCAAGTCACTTCTGTTCTCCTCAGGTCGACACTTCCATCAATAATTGTTGAGTTACTTAAATCGCTCTTTGCCCCTCGCTCTAACGATCCTTTGGGATATCCCGCGATGCTAAACCCATTGGTAAGGACGATATCGTCATCAAATTGCCAACGCTGTAGAAAGCATTCGTCACATACATCTGATACTAAATGCATCTTATCCATCTCGTAAGGATATTTGGTCGCCGATCCTGCTTTCCAATGATGTAAAGATAATACCTTTCTTCCATTCTCATAGAAACCAGAATGATCTCCTATGAAATCGATTTGCGAAAGTCCAGCTATTGTTGTAAGTTGGGCTTTAGAATGTTGATATATACAGTCCATCACCAGTGTATCCCCGGAAGTAAATCGCATGTTGTTTTTACATTCCTCGTTGTTGTCATGGATGATTTTTGCCAGTGGCGTGGAGAGAAAGACGCCAGCCCCTCCAAATGCCATTAGTCCGTACATTCTCACCGCTGCCCAATTCTCGGATAATCCGCCGATGTATTGAGGCTGCGTATGATCGTGAAGAGCAAGCGCGTCTAGCAGCCCACGCATAGAAGGGAAGAATGTGTCGTCGTCCATAACCACAGTCCACTTTGTTTTCTTATTGCGAGCCTTATACATCAGATCTATCAGGGAGAAATATCGTTGATTGAAAAAGTCCTCTTTCTTGACGGGTGATATTATCGTGATGTCCATGCCTGCTTTGCGATATTCTTTCTGAAGTTGAGCCATTTCAGATTCAGATGCCAATACCTCTTCGCTTTCTTTGACTATCGCGATCAAACGAGCTCCACTATTTGGCAGCCATCGTGCTAAGTGCGTCTTTGTATCCCGAAGACGCTTTATTGTGGTCTGCAGACCAAATATCATATGCGAAGCGTCGATTTTCCGAATGGGAGGATAAGGAACTTCAAGAGTGAGCGGGGAACAATGGTCGACGGTTCTATCAACAGAAAGCTCTGCGCGCTCGAGGATTTCAGGGCTGTCGAACAAGGACGCTTTCATCACGGTGACTGACGGTCTTTCTCCATGATTGGGTTTCGCGATAATATCTCGTTGGGCAACTTTCAGAGGATACGATAAGTTGTACCTTCCCAACCACTCAAAATTTTCTGTAATATTACAATCAGATGGCGAATCAATTCCGGCCAAATCACCAGTCCAATCCTCGTCGACAAATTCGTATCCAAAACCATCTCCAAGTATTGCTGGTGATCCAAAATATGATGTCACATTAAGGGTACCATGGCGGGCAAACAATATTAATGAGGGAACGATTATCGAAGACGCAGCCAAAAGAATAGCCAAGCGGATAGTTTTCCTGGATTTCATGGCTCGATTGACTGAGGATAGGTGCAAAGAGAGCAACAAAAAACCCCAGAATGAAGGAAACCAAAATACCAAAGAAAGAGTGGGCAATAAATGAATAAGAATCAAGTATAAAGTTTAAAGTCGGTAAAAGCTAAAATCTCCACTAAGGCGATAGTAGATAAACTTGCGACCTTATCAACAATGGTGTGGTACGCCTGCCAACATCGCCTGCCAACATCCCAGAATGAGAGAAATTACAAGACAGTTTCAGATCATCAATGATTTTGTTTGGTTCTGACTTGTTTCCAAGCAATTGGCAACGGTATCATGTGCGCCGTAGCACTGGAAGAAAATGCTACCGGTGATGCCCATCAGTTACGGTAGCACATAAACACGACGGAACGTTTTCGCCATCAACCAATCATGCTGTACCGGTACATCTCACTTGAAAGATTTCGATTTAAGGTGACCCTGTGAGCCTGCCTATGTCCTCATTTCACTTTGGTGATACCGGTATTACCAAATTCATTCACTTACCGAGTGAGAGGACTTTTACTGGTTCGCATTGATTTAAGATCCGCCATGAAATTTCGAAATGCCTACCTGCAGAGTAGTACGGGCCATAACCAATAAAGACCTAAGCGATACTCTAGAGTGAGCCTCCCCCTGTTCTCTTGGATGAACCATATTATGCAGGGAAATAAGGAGGAACCTTGGAAGGCATAACAAATGCTAAATTGTTACAGTGATGGCTTTGAAACTTGATGTAAGAAGAATGAAAGAAGGTAACTTTGTAGTGGAGGAAACGTGGAGTTGAATACGAGATAGCTAGCGAGTATATTTACTCCGTGAAGAATGAGCCGGGGAGGCCGGGTGAGATCCTTCGGCTTTTCAATCCCCGAGACATCCATAGCAGAGGAAGGAAAGGGGTCTGCCCAGGTGGCTTACTAATCTCATCAAATTGGTCTGAAGTGACAAGGCTGAGAATCCACTGTGGCTGGTAAAGGTAAATTTGTGTGGCGTCATCATCAAACCGAGGATGCATCTTCATACGACGGGAAGGCTACCTACCTAATTTTACTCATTTTCACACAAGCTTTTTTCCTCAATACCGATACCTACGTTGATAGTATTCTTTAAGCATTTTCCGTTCATTTCTTGTCCCAGCAATGCGATAATACCCGTCCGTCTACTTTCCTTAATCATTGCGATCAGTAACTATTCCCGAATGTCCAAGATGGAATCAGCATATCCCAACCCTGGTCTTCAAAAAGCGCAAGATAGAAGTGACCCAGAACGTCCTGAGCAATCGAGCCAGGAATCTATGGCAGTTCCAACGACCGCTAGCAATTCTCCCGAAACTCCCATGCCTATAGTCGACAAACCAAATGAAGCTCATATTTTAAATCAACCTCAATCTAGCAACTCTACCCAGTCCTACGATGCACAAGAAGATAAAATACCTTCTCCGGAGAAGGAAATACAGACCTGTTGGATATGCCAAATGGATGATACCGACGATGGGCCTCAAGCTTCACCGTGGCGATCTCCGTGTCCTTGTTCTTTGCGAGCTCACGAATCGTGTTTGATGGAATGGATTGCAGTATCTGGAGACAAGGAAATGGCACCCAAGATTGTCTGCCCAGTCTGCAAGTATCAACTCAAAATAGATCAGCCTAAAGATTATCTCGTCTTGACGGTCGACAAAATACGACGTATGGCGGAGACAATGGTACTTCCCACGGCCGCCGGCGCATTATTCAGTTGCTTTTACTCTGGATCTCTTCTGTTTGGTGTTAACAGCCTCGCGTTGGTATTTGGCGCAGATGAAGCCCGCGAGATGATTTTGACGCATTACAACGACTTCATCGATCGTCCCGTTCTTGGTGGTAGCATACACCTACCCATGAGACAGATGCTAACTAAATATTTATTTCCATTTCTCGGTGGCGGGTTCATGGCTGTACCAAGTTGGAGGGCAACAATAGGACTACCATTGATTGCACCAACCCTCCTTTTATCACGGACAAGAATTGCGGATTCAGTTTTCAGTATAGTACCTGTTACTGTAGGTTGAGAATTCCTAGTTGCACCTAATGGGCAAAGTATGATTGAAGTCTCCGTTTGCTAACATGGCACAAGTATTTTCTCTTTAGCCCCGATAGCAAGAGCATCACCTCCTGGCCTCCATCCCCGGGTCGCGCGTTCGTACTTGTTCCCTATGTCAGATTGGCATACAATACCCTCTACCGTCACATGTTCTCCGACTTGGAAAAGAAATGGGATCTGGCTGTTCAGCGTAAACCACGAGAAGGCGAAACTGCAGAACAAATTGCTGCAGAACAACGGAGAGGAGGAGAAGGCGATGGATTCTTAGCATTGGAAATGGAAATGGAGATCATTGATGAAGTCATGGACGAAGACGGAAACTTGGTTCCCCAAGATGGTGCACATCTGGGTGATCGCAACCAGAATCAAAATGGCAACCAAGGTGGCCGACAAGGCGAAAACGGCGATCAAAACAATATGGGGGTCCGTCGAAATATTAGTACACACAGCTTGTCATTCCAGTTTATGGGTGCAGTGCTGTTTCCTGCAATATCAAGCATAATGGGCGACGCGCTCAAATACGCATTACCATCTATATGGGTAAAGGCGAGATGGGGAGGAAAGCCAGGGTTGTTACAACATAAATGGGCGAGAAGTCTAGTTGGAGGATGTCTATTCGTAGTTTTAAAAGACGTGGTCGTGTTGTATTGTAAGTGGAAGAAAGCGAGGAATTTCGGGAAGAAAAAAGTCCTAGAATTTGGAGGGAAAGGGAAGGGAAAGGCTGCGTGAAAACTAGGGGAGATTAGTGTATGGATATGGTGTTAAGTGAGCATAGTGGGGGGTGCTTTTCAATCGAGGATGGAACATTGCGGATAGGGAAAACCTTATCTCCTCGCAGAAGAACGCATTGAGGCTGTTCAAAGTGTAATTTTATGACCATTGGAAATACGTCCAACAAATGGATATGGTTGAATGCCAAATACAAACGGAGGCACTATTAAATCCATTTCATATACCCATGCCGTCTGATTCGCCAATTCCACTACTACCAGAACTGGTAGCTTTCAAGTCTATGCATTCTGGGAGGGGGCTGATTCCGAGACAATTGAATCAGCTGCTTAAGCAATAGCATTATCTTTCATAATTCGCAGAATCCTCGATTAGAGATCCTATATTCCCAACTCCCCATCTCCATCCCTAATGTATCTCAATATCCATCCATCACCTCATGCGCCTCGAGTAGCCGAAGATAAACACCTAGAACTCATCAACGCAAATTACATGATATCGACCGAATCCCAAAGCAATCATCAGAAAAGAGAAGAAGAAAAAGGAAAAGAAGAAACGTACCAGCAACATTCCATCTCACATCCGCCTCCTCAAATCCCTTCCTCACGAGAACCACAATATCGCGGGAAGATGGATCTTTAGATCTTATTTGCTCAACGCACATATGATAACCGAAAAATAACGCCCATAGAGACATGTTCTTGGGATCGCGTCCTAGGATAGAATGGGGAGTAGACATGTTTGCGATGATTTGTTGGGTTATGCGTTGGAGGAGTTGGGCTTTACGTTCTGTGCGGTGCTGACGTAGAGGGGATGGAGGATTGGATGGGTGTGGGGAGAGAGATGATGTGTGGAGGGCTAGAAGGGTGCTGCGTGAGAGTTGGTCAGGTTATTATGCTTGGGACGTTGGGGAAGGACGGATAAAAGAGATAGAAATACCTATAAATAAACGCAATGCGATCGCAATCCGGATTTTCCACATTCACGGATGCCTCAAGCATAGAGGTTACCGTCCGATCTAGTTGCATCCATAGCTCATCGTCGTGAGATGAAGCACCAGAAACATGATTGAGCACTTGACCTAATAATCTGGCGGCTTGACATAGCAGAGCGAATTTTCTCATGTGGCCTGTGGTTGGCGAGGATACGGTAGAGTAACTTGAAGAATTGATGATCTGATAGATTGGTGATAAGTAGGTTATAATAGTTGGTGATTGCATTTGAGGATAGACAACTTACACCTTGATTCCATGCTTCGTCGTCGCATGGTAATGTATCGTCTAGGTTTGGTTCTGAGGTTGCAAAGGGTCTCCCTGGCGATCCTATGCTAATGAAACTGTGATGATAGTTAGTTTCAATCACAAGTGCTTTCGGAGAGTATAACTGAGTTTGTGGATATTGAAGACGAGATCATAGGAGGGGGAATCACTGACCGATCTAGAATTACAATGGCCCACCAAACTCTTCTTCTGAAACATCGAAGTGTCAGTAATGGTCTACCAAGAACAGAAATATGGAGCAACACGAAGAGATGAATATGAATATAATAGATAGATCTGGGGTATAGATAAGATGTAATGCTTAAATAAAGTTAAACGTTGCAGAATACAAAGCATGATGAATGAGCCAATAATACTAACCTCTCCTCCACCTCCATCATTGTAAGAACCCTCTTTACATTTAGCCTCTTATTACAATTTATCCCCAGAGCATATGCATACCGCGCACATGCTCCAATAGAAAGATACGTAGCAGGATAAATACCATGACCCATCTCATACACGGCGATCAGGATTTCCGCCTGGAGAATGGGAAGAGAAGGAACATTTGAGGTTTCTACTTCAAGACAGTAATGTTTTATGGTTTGATATAGTGAAGTTTGAGGATTTCGTGGATTTGTGGGAGGTAATGTGGTAATCAGTTTTATGGAGAGGAGAAGGAGAATAGTTTCTGGGCGGTTAGGAATGCAGATCTGAGAAGGCAGATGATAGCTGTAGAAACGGGGCTTGGAAAAGAAAGCCACCCATGTCTGATCGTGGGAGAAGAACTCCGTAACGCACAGGTGGATAGAAGTGATGTCTCCTAGTAGATGGAGAATATGTGCTGGGATAGAACTACCAGACTGGGGTATGTCAATTTGTCCTTGCTGTAGGATATATGGATCTAGAAACAGCATTGCCGAGAAATTGATCGATTGAGCATAAAAATGGTCATGATTTACTGGTATCTCAATATTATGCCATGGTTGCGTAGAGGTTAAGGTAGATGTAGATACAGAATTACGGGTCTGCTCTGGCGTGGAGTATTCGCATGTTAGATCCCTCCTGATATGATACTGTTAACCGCAATAAAGAACAACTGGAAAACGAATACAGTGATTTACCTCAAACATCCCGAACATTGTGGAAGTGTTCTATCGCATTTCTTCTTTCGTATCCTGCATGAATTGCATACTTGCTCCGACGTCGGCAATTGGTCGGCGCTCGACCCATCACTGGGTGTTTGCATGGTGGGGAGAATATTCCAAGGAAAACTTTTGTTCTACAATAACTTTAGGGTATAATGAGAGTGAATGAAGAAAATAGTGTTTGGATAACCCAAGGCGACGTGAAGGGGCATGAAATGTGGAGTAGGTGCGCCGACATTGTTGATCGATAATTTTGGTGCAGGAACGTTCGGCTGGCGGCGCACAGACGCCGCTGACAAGGCGCCGCTTATGCATGCCAGCCATCCTGCGTCCTAGCGAACCCAATCAGCAAGAGCGAGACTCAGGGGCTCCATCGTGTAAATATGACTGTGAAACTCACATATAAGTTATTCGGAGGTTTCCTTATCTCTTTTGAGACTCAGACTGCGATCTATTATAATAGTCTGTATAGAGACTTAATCTAAATCTATTTCATACTCTTTAGGAATAAAAGAATACAGAATAGGTAAGGTGAAAGGTATTCGTAATCGATTTATAATCAATTAACAATCGACTTTCAATCAATTTAAGTTAAGTTAATTGTATTCAAATTATCAGATTCAATTTTAGACTTTCTTCAGGCTTAGCTCTATATTATAAGCTTTACACCGCCTTACGTATAGATGTTTATAGAAGTTTACTGTAAGAGTTGCTCCGCTCGTCGGAAAGCAACAATTAGACTAAGAATGCATATAAGTATAGAACTATCGAGCGTGTATTTTCTCCCATCTCATCATCAGTATCTTTCCTCTTTCCTCTTCTTCGACCAACCATATTTTCAGACGCTATACACTTTTCACCATGAATCGTTACGCCGCATCTCATACCGATCCCCACGGCCCTGGAGATGCTCGGCCGACTGCACTTCAGATTATCCAGGACGAATCATTGATCGGTAAACTGGCTGGAAAAGTAATCGTCCTCACCGGTTCAGCCTCTGGCATCGGTCTCGAAGCAGCGAGAGCGTTGTCTGCCACAGGTGCTACTCTAATCCTCACTGCCCGTGACATAAAGAAGGCCGAGACTTCTCTTAATGGAATCTTAGAGCCCGGTCGTGTTACGCTTGTAGAGATGGATAATGCTTCTTTTGCCAGTGTCAAAAGTGCTGCAGCAGCTATCCTCGAGAAATCGAGAAATCGGGTCAATGTACTGATCAACAACGCTGGTGTTATGGGCATTCAAGATCTCCAACTCACCGAAGACGGGCACGAAATTACCTTTGCTACCAATCATCTCAGTCATTTCCTTCTATTTCAACTTCTTAAGCCTGCCTTACTCCTTGGCTCCAGCCCAGATTTCCATTCCCGCGTGGTGAATATTTCCTCCTCCGGCCACCGAATGTGCGATCTTCCTGACAGCGACAACTATGACTTCCAGAAAGGAGGCTACAATTTCGGAGCTGCATACGCTAATTCGAAACTCGCAAATATATACATGGCCAATGAAATAGATCGTCGCTATGGTCGACAGGGATTGCATGCAACAAGTCTCCACCCTGGTGCTATCGACACGAATATTAGTAGACACGTGGGCAGTGAATGGGTGACTCAAGTTATGAGTAATGAGAAAGTTCGTAAGGCTCTGAAAAGTGTTGAGCAAGGAGCTGCAACAACTGTTGTTGCGGCAGTTGGAAAAGACTGGGAAGGAAAGGGAGGAAAGTATTTGGAGAATTGTGGTGAAGCGGAACGGGGACAGGATGACTACCAACCTTTCGGAAATGGATGGGTAAAGCAAACATATCATCCGGAAGATGAAGGACGACTGTGGAGAGATTCATTGAAGATTGTCGGGGTCGAGGACGATATGTGAGGAGTGAATATTCCGATTTTATTGTAGTCTAGCCATGTAAATTAGTCAAATGGATATCGTCGTTGAAGATATCACTTCTATGCAGCCGAACAGATCCTGATTCATATACCATCAAAACAAAATACGGAGCTTCTTTTTTTAAAAATTATATTGACTCAGATTGACTGAGTTTTGTAATATTGGAACTAATTACAGGTAGATTTCCAGAAGTCATTTCCTTGGGCTTGTGTACATTAATAATAGACATTAAGATTTATTGATATAATCCGATTTAGAACAATGCTTCTGTCGCTAAAATCGCTGTCAGAAATTGGCATTTTTTTTTCTACCCCTTTTCACGACTACTTTCATGGCAAGTCTTCGTCGTCGTCCAAGATCATCTCACACTCTAGTCCTTCACGAGTATATCCCCCTGGAGAAGCTGAAGAGAAGTCGACTGGAGGAACAGGAAGTCCCCGGGCTACTCTTGCCGCCCTTGCCACCTTTGCCGCCTCTGCTGCCTTTGCTTTTTCCCTCTTCTGAATTTGTATAGCTTTCTTGATCTTAGCCATCAACTTGAGATTCTCCCTCGATTTTGTCTCGAGCACAGTCTTGATGAACTCCACGTTCAGCTCAGTACTGTCATATCTTAAGCTGGGACTGCACTGAACAAGGGCTGAAGTAGGAAAATAAGTTCTGAAAGTGAATGTCTCAGATTTACCCACACCCATTCGCTTTTGTTCCTTTTTAGAGATGGGGGTGTGGCGGTCTTTGATGATTTGAGACATGTATTGGACAGGCAAACTATCCTCGACCTTAATCCTATTGCTCAGAGTTTTTCTCGTCTTTTTCAAAAAGGTTCCAAATGGGTCGCTAGTTCCTTCCCTATCCATCTCTGTGGCGTTGTCTCTGACACTTTTGGGTTGGCTCTGCAACCAGATGTACTGAGCATCGCCAACTGGAACCCTACGCTCCTGCTTCTTGCAACTCCATTTGCCCTCCCTCTTTTCTGCTCTAAAGAAGGTATTGGGAGCACGAGATATATAAGGCTTAGGTTCGAATTTGACACTGTAGCCACGTCGCTGAGCCGCAGTCGCGGCAGTATTTTTAATCCTAAGTCTTATGGTTTTGCTTTTCTCGGGTAAAGGCTCCGCAGCTAATTGCTCCACATTGGTTGCCTTTCTTTGACCCCCCAAGGTTACTCTTGTATTGTTTTGGCTCACAGCGGCGTCGATGGCTGCAGAGTTCGAGGATTGGGCTGTACGACTTTCGTTGACATGGTAGTTGGTTGTTCCAATCTTCTTTCCGACAGAGCGAATCTTTGCGCGGGTCATTCTCATTCCACTTGAGTCGTCGGTATCTGGAATGATGTTATTCTCATCCAAATCACCGTTGGTTATCCCGACATTCTTTCTAGGTTTCTTTGCCGAGCGCGAGGTTCCAGCTTGGTGAGATTCATCATCAACCGACTCTCGTTTCTTGGACTCGGTGTTTGAGATAGCGTTCTTTGCTGGGTGTGATGATCCGACTTGATGAGGTTCATCAAGATCCATCTTTTCCTCGAGTTCATCGGTCTTATGGATTGTTGTAGCTGTTGATTCAAAGAACCCAAGAATGCCTGGAATGTCTGAAATATTGGCTGCTTCAGATGATTCAGAAACCGGGTCCATGGGTGTCAAAGTTTGATTGGAATCAGAGCCGTTTGTAGCTGGGTTGCATAGATGGAAAGTTGGTGATTGAGTTGTTGTACGCATGCCCTGGGAGGGGGTTGAAAGGGAAGATTGTGATAATGAATCGATAGACTCAGAGTCTCCTGTGGTAGATTCTGCAGCTGAACGTGGAGAAGCGGCTGGCGACGATAGCGGTGACAATATCCTAGAACGCCGCGAGACAAAGCGAATTGATGACATAACTGGCAGGGTATGATATGTGTCTTGATTATTCGTAGTTGTTTTATTATTTGTACTAGTTATTATAGTCCAGCTTGTTGAGCTATTCGAGGTTGTTGTGCTATTTGAAGTTGTTATGCGATTCGAAGTTATGTTATTCGTAGTCGATATCTTGCTCGTGGCTATTTTGTGGTCATGGAGTTGTATCGTATCGATAAATGAAAAGGGGTAGTGGTGACGTATTTGACGAATGAACAAACCACGAAGATGCTTTTGAATAGAAACACAACTTGCAGATAGATTGTAGTTCGGATCGTTAAATGGAAAACCGCGCACTGTTTGTATAGATGGGGATGAGTGAAGTAAGATGTGAAGAATATTTCGGCGCAATGAAGTAAAAGCGGTGCTCCAAATTGAAGGCGCCGTCTAGAAGGAAGTTGAACAGATTTCTACCAGATGTGATTAAAGGTAGGTCCTCGTTGTTGTCCTGGTGTATGATCTGATATATATCTGTTTATGTAGATGGGGATGGATGAGTCAAATAGAATGTGAAGAATTTTTCAGAGTAATGGAGTAGAAGCGGTGCTTCAAATTGATGGCGCCGTCTAGAAGGAAGTTGAACAGATTTGTACCAGATGCGATTGAGACTTGGTCTTCGCTGTCGCCCTGGTGTATGATCTGATATATCTGAAAAGTCCTGCAAATTCTTAATGGATGGCAGATTTTGATGCTGAGAGAAAGATTTTTTGTGATTATTGCTGTGTGAAGGAGAAATTTTGTGGGAGTCGGGTCTTGCAAGCCGACCTGCGCTAATACCGAGCTGGTAAATGCTTTCATGCCAAATATGCCAGATTCGATAGTGCCCTTCGGACTCTGCAGAACTCCGGCAAACCTTGGAAAAACATACTCACATTTTAGACGGCATTTGGGTTTTCACTGATCATACTTGGTGAGAGGGGGAGCTTGGGTAGGTTATGGTCACGAACGAACAGATCACGAGTGGAGTTTCGAGGTGATAATATATAAAATATGTAGCATTGTACTCACCATGAGATGAAGGAACTTTTGGTAGAATTGTTACAGTACCCAGACATACGAATTGAGCAATGACAAACTGTAGAGGTGCCATATGACGAACGAGTATAGTTCATGATGGAACTCTGTGTTTTCCAAAGTGTTAAAAGTCTCCCCATCGGCAATCTCGAAAGGCGTTCATCTACATCTATATCATCACCATCATTATCATGGTGTTGATCGGCAAAAGGCCTGAGCTTCAAAGTAAAAAAAAGTGGCATGCCCAACCATGCGAAGAGGACCATACATTAAAGACGCTGAGTTTTGGTCATCATGTAACAGCATTAACGTTATTGCAAATATAATTTTCTATGCGACTTTCATCCAAGAGCTTGTAACAAATTGTGTGAAAAGAATCAGATGGGAATACCGACTTCTTGATGTTGAATATAGAAAAGAGCGTACATCTCGTGTATCCCTTTTTCTTCTTCGCCAAGAGCTGGGTTACGGGGCATGCATTAGCGAAACTGGCCTTGATGCCTCATCAATACCGTAATGAAGTTTGTTTCAAGAATGAAGCATCGGTGAATTGCATGTTTGAAATGAATAAAAGGGTACCTTGTCTCTACCGTGGTTATTTTATTCAACGCTATTTAAGTACAACAGATGGGTGAACACCTGAATCATTGCCTTGAAAAATCCAGTGATCTATTGAAAAGCCCGATCAGTGGCGATCTTTAACAAGCAAACATCGACGATAACATGAGAGGCCAACGAGGGCTAAGAACAATAGATCTAGTGTACAAAATAGATAGCACATATATAAGAGGACTGCGCTCACTTTTTTTTTTGAAGAACAATTCTTTCTTCGTCTCTTCACATAATTGATTGTTCTCATTCTCTACCAACAATCTAATACGTCATTAATAGCGCCATAAAGGGCATCTCAGTTCTGGCATTGATACGGTCTGAAATACAGACATTCTATATACACCGCAAGAGTGTCCGTAATCTCTTGAGCGTATGGCCACAGGATGCAACGCAATCAAATCATCCAGAATAGAGAAGGAAGCCATCAGTCATTGAGATAATCTTTAATCTTTATCGATATGACAGATAACCAACTCACTTTGACGACAAATTTTCGAAGAAAAAAAGACTATCATCGGCGAGGCAGGAGCTTCCTTGACCTTCGATCAAATAACCACCAAACGCTGCGCAATAAAATCTACAAAGACACGAATAGAAGCCATCAGTCAATGCGAGGATACAAATTTTCTTTGGCTGAAGAGGAAGAGTACATAGGAATCTTGAGTCGCTAATGGCAAAGGAGGAAAGGGGGTGAAAGTCATGTGTGTATATCGAGCACGCAGCCCTAGCAAGCATCTGGCACTCATGTACACTCTTAATCAAACGTGTATAGTCTTACACAGCGGCACATAGTGCTCAACGGTTATCCAACTGATTTGAGACGCAAAGCACGCGTGAATTACCACGGTCGACTCATGAAAACATAACATAACAAGAATTGCGACGCTTTCCCACTAGGGCGAAATCACATGTTCTCAAATTCATGCGAGCAATCCATACATGGCCCCATATATTTGCGACGGGATGGATCTCGAGTCGGAACGAAAAACCAGTCTTCAGTTATGCGCTGATTGCAGAAAGCACAACGACGTTGTTCCCCAAGCATCGTTTCGGGTAACAAAGCCGAACTTATGCAGTATGAGCAGAGAATGAATGGGACAATTCGTCAGCTCATCATGGATTATTACTCGTTTTGAGTGTTAATGGTTCGATGTAGTGACTGCAACAAAGTTGTTGTTGTTGTTGCAGTATGGAGTATTCATGGGTGGGTGGTACGTGACGAATGCTTTGTTTTGATTCCATTCCGCTTTGCATGGAATACCACCAATATCGATAACTTTGCGAGAGTGAATGAAATGGAATACCGGTATCTCGAGAATCCAATGCTGAGGTTGAACCATACGCCTCTAGCCTGTATGCCGGAGCACAACGCGTCGATAAAACAATCTCTATTGCAGTAGCAGCATGCGGATATTCCATGTTGTACGTGTATTGTATGGCCAGGAATCCTCGAGAATACTTCCGTTTGCATCTTCCCCACAATCCTCACGTCTTCTTGCTACCCTCACGATCCACGGATGATCGAATACGGACAGAAATGCAGAACCGACAGCCATCAATTAATTGATGGCTAGCCAGCGTTTGTTTAATTATTGATATCAACGTTTCGTGTTTCGTGTTTTGTGTTTTGTCGCGTTTTGGTCGCAGAGAGGACCGTGAGCAGTTTTCACTCGAAAAATCCCAGCACCCCTGACCATCATCCATCCACTACACATACACGATACACCACACACCACACACCGCACCTCCATCTTTTCTGCAAGAACACTTCATCTTTCTTTCATGGCTGCATGATATGCTTGCATCTATACCAGTCAACCATGGTACTCACTGTACTTACAATTCCAACCATTCGATGGTAACTTTCCACGGGAGTCCCGGTGTCCGATACTGTGGGATGCTGTACGCTTCGACAAGCATTGCCAAATAGTCAGCTGAGAGTCAATGTACCTAAGATGTAAGATGCAAGTCCAGCTTGCGGCATCTCACGTTATTCCACAACCACGCCAGTTTTCAGCCTAATGCGTGCGTCTCTATTGAATCTAGATTGTTAGTTTTGGCAAGCCGGCACAGCTCAAGTTGGAAGTCCACAAATGTGCTCGGGTATCAAAGGAACAGAATGGTGCGGATCTTATATCCTTTACCTGCTTCGTAGCAGACTAAGATACTGTGTTTATGCACGTGTACTTGCGAAATTGCGGTGAAGATAATTCCTATTTCGAATCGCAGAATTGGCGACATCAGAACCTAAGATGGACATGCCAAAAACTACCCTGCTTGCAAAATTCCGTAACAAATCGATTCTCAAATATTTCGAAGAAATGCCTGGATACAATAATTCCTTAGCTTATAATTAATATTTAGAATTTATCATCTTGATAATATAATTCTGATTGCCATCGAAATTCAAATGAAGGCATCCTTGGAAGGGTCAAAAATTTAGCAATTTTAGCAGAAGAATCAGTTCAATCTTGATGTCAGAACTGCTGGGCTTGGGAGTTTACTTTCTCCGATCTACAAGATAAATGAATATTTGATGATGAAGATGGTCATAGTTATCATGTTCGGCGTCTCCAAAACGGTGGTCACAAAGAAGTTTTTGGCACTTATGAAGATAACCAGAGGTATATTAATTTGTCATTATTTCAAACTGGGTAAAATTGCTAGATTATACTCGCTTCTAGGCATGAAGTATGCTCTCTTGCGGGTTCTTCAAGAGATAGCTGTCTTTTCAAGCCCAGTCTGCTGGCGAGTTTGAGATGAAAGAATTTTCTTTTGTGGGAGGTTTGGGATGCAGGCCCAAATGATTTAATGGAACTGATAATATTGATTTCGTGGAGTGGTGTCTTTATGAAGTGTTTTTATATACTCTGTGTATTCTAAGATTCTTAATCTCGGCTTTTTACTGTTTAAGCTATTTCTTGCCTTTTCTGGTAAAGTTTTGAATCCTGAACACATGGTGTTTTTTGATTTGTAGAGATGGATTTAGGCTTGCATTGTTTATGACCCGTTTCTTGGATAGTGTAATGGCCACGGAAACAGACGGTCATATCCCCAATGCTTTCACTGGGACCTTCAAGAACAAGGACGTAAATAAGATGCATATCCTGCATGCAACATGCTAAAGTGCTGGTACCTCCTAACACTTTCTCTATTGGACAAGATCATGCATGTCTGACTTTTTCAAAAGGCCCTTGTCGTTAATCTAGGGGCCGTCGGAAAGATATGCTTAAAGTGAGAAACAGCCCGACTGATCAGCCTCTCCACCTTGGGGTCACTATTGAGGTTAGTTGGAGAGACTGAGAGCCAATCAAGCTATTAGCAACTTCATTATCTGCTTTTGTTGCACATCTCAAATATTTCCATATGAACTGACCTGAGAGCAAGCATGATTGAATCGAAGATTCAAATACAGGCTATTTCCAGTGGCAGCGCCGACCCCCGTCCGATCTGTGATTGCTCCGGAGAAATGGACTGCTTTGACCTATATGCTACATCATTGTTAAAACTTTGAGTTCTCGAACAAGGCTCCGGTGTGTGAGCAGAGGTTTGTGCGATCGTCTTTGCACTATTAGGGTTTCGGTTTATCTAGCATTGCATGATTCAGTCTCGGTTGTGTAGGGGTTAAGATACACTGAGAGCGTGAGATCTAGGTGTATCTACACCTCTCAAACAAAATGCGCCAAGCGGACTCGAGAAGTGTGAATACTGAATCCGAGACCGCCCAGACTGTATAGAAATTTTGGACTTCTGTCCCGTTTTACTCCGGCCAGTAATGAACATAGTTTTTGCTACTGGTTGGCAGTATATGAGATATCTATCCGTTCCTCCGCAGGGCTGGATCCACTCCAAATATAAACAGAGAGAGCGGCCTGGGAAGTTGGAAGGATCTAGATGATGTGCACTGCGCTTCATGATGTTACGAACGGTGACCAAACCTGGAATGGGCGGATCGATAATGATGAAGTCGACTTCTCAGACTAGGTCTGCAGAGAAGCGCAGAGAAAGAGGCTGCAATTGTGTGGGGTACGTACTTATACTCAGCAATAATGCGTATATGTCTGCCATGATGATGCTACACCGAGTATAGGTCTACAAACAGTGTGATAATTGTACTACACTGAAGAAAGAGGATTTCAAGATAATGGAAAATTTGAATGGTAATTAATGGTGTATATTCTAGGTCATATACAAAATCCAACAGCGTTCGATCTTAAGCGATATAATAGGCGCACTGTCGAACTCAAGGAAATTCACGGTACACCACGCTCATTATATGGAGTACAGTCAATATAGCGTTCTCACTTATGAGTATGGGAGTAAAATGGCTTCGATAAACATATTATTAGGATAGTATACTACTATATCAGAGCAATCTGAAATTCAAGAATATAACTAAGCGAACTGAAATAATATTGCTGTATTAAAAATGCAGATTAGACTGTACTATCTTCTGGACTTGGGAATAGAATAATGGTGCATATAATACACATGTTTCTGAGAAAAAGAATGAAAAAAGAGGTCTGTTCGAGTTTCCAGCTGCACCACATCCCCTAAAACATGAACATTTTGTTCAGTTTGTCTAAGTTTTGGGGTGTGAATACTTATATGATCCAAAAGATCGAACTGTTCCCTCGCTAGTTTGGTGTCGAGCTCGTTCGCTCGGATCTATGAATTATATTAGTACACAGCTTCGCATCTTGCCGTAGTTGCTCAACACGTCAATTTAGAATTCCGGACTCCCTATATCAACAACCAGCTCCACAACAGGCAACTCTGGGAATTGCTTGTTGACGGAGATTAGAGATTTGACCAATTGCAGGTTGCGAAATTCGGAGTATATAGATATGTTGCACGTCTTTAAATGTCTCATATTGAATCATCTGAATTCACTTCAAGATTGGCTCGTATTGTCGCCCGTATTGTCTTCAATAGCCAATCATTAAGCTTTATAGCTAGAAGATTGCTCAAAAGTATAATGAGAAAGTTCAAAAGAAATCCAGGTTTTCGTGACTTTATGACATCAGCCAAGAAATGTGCTCGGTCAAGTTTTGTCTTGGGTAAGTCTATCTCAACGTCCATCCTTTGGGTCACCTTGTGACCATGGGAACAATGATTTCTTCGTTGAAACGATACTTTCCGGTTATGTATACCATAGCCATACTAATTAACTTGCATCGAGATGGGAGAAGAAACATCTTTCAAGATTCTGAGATGATAAACCCTCAAAGCTACTCTGTCAGTCTGTGTGTCTCCTAACTCTAACCCTATACTTGGTTCTTCCACACGCGACATGATGGTTACGCTCGCTAGACTACGGTCATAGCATTCAAAGTACTTTCTCGAAGGCCTATTTGAATTCAAGGCTATTTGACAACATCGCAGACTTATCGACCAGCCAAAGGCGTCTCAATTAGTAAATATCAACTCTCAGTCCGATGGAATACCAAATAGGCTATGGCATATCCGAAAGCGCAGATCTACATGATAGTGAGGCAAAAATTCCGATTTCCTTTAGAGCCTCAGCACCGTAGTTGGTTGGAACTTGGAATGTTCCGGTATATTCTAGACCTTTCAGACTATTTATTGCCTGAAAAGTTAAACTCATCAATGAAACCAAATATAGAAAGTTTTATATATTACCATCAATCAATTTTATTATTGACGAGTTGCGGACTAAGATTATATCACTGCCGGATGTGTGGGCGTCGCAGATATGACGGGCATGAACCCCAAGGAACTAGTAAATTCCCTCCAAATTCAAAACTTCCAGAGCTGGCTCGGTCACACGATCCAATCATATCGTTATCACTCCTCGCTTATCAATTTTCGTCACCACGAGAATATCATTGCTCAATACTGTTAGAAGCATGATCGACGGAAGAATTCAGACTCAGATTGGTGTCACACTGACAGACGGCATTTATTACCTTTTTATATTTATGTCTCTGGTAAAGCCGAGAGACATTCGTGACATTCACGGTATCCGATTTCAGATGTGCAACAAAATTGGCTCGAGTCACGTGAGCTGGTCCACTAGCTGCTTAAAGAGGCTTGGCAATCAAACATGTTTATTATTAGATCTTGCTCCTCAGGGCATGAGAGACTGTGTTCGATTTTCGAGTCTGATAAATAGGTAGCATTCATTGGCAGGCTTAACATATGAAATATATCTGGTTACCTAGTCGTAGCTCGACTACAGCAACTGATGATTAGTTAGTTAGTCAGTGCACTGACACCAGTCTCGCGTCATCGTCTACGCTGCGAATCTTTAGTTAATAATCATCTCAACTTGCTCCTTAATCCCTAACTCTAAATGTATCGTCCTATTTCCATCCTCATGTACCTGTTTTAGTTTTCCTTCCATACTCCCGGGATCATAGATCTCGATGCATCAAAAAGTCCGGTCTGATGATGAG